ATTACCAACACACATCGGCAATGTTGTCCAGTTCCCATCAACACACTGGATCTTATTGGGTCCCTTCAGGAGAAATCCAGGCTTGCAATCATATTTCACCACTTCATCATGGCTGTATTCTTCTTTCTTTGTTTCCTTAGCTTCCCCATTGAGGAGTTCAGGAGGTTGATCACATGATCCTACTTTATCTACTGTGAAAATATTATGTAACTATAAATGAAAATGTCCATCTTGAAATCTAAAAATCTAGTAGATGAAAAATCTTTTAAGAATTTATTTACTATATTACTTTTTATGACATTTTACTAAATCAACAGTATTTACACTAGACTCACATTTCACAGTTTGTAACATGTCTATTGAAAAAGCTGAAAGCATATTGAAGGGAATAAAATGTTTGGTAAACCTGAAACCTTGAAAATGCATGAAAACCAGTCAGCAATTGTAGTTGTGTCAATTATAGTGATTTTCACACTCTATAAATATGTTTAACATACAGTTATCAATTGGTAAAAAATGTTGGCACTGTAGAAAACATCTCTGATTAATGTGTTTTAATTTTTAAATAAATGCTAATGAATTCATCAAAATCTGCCTTCATACAGTTTAGACATTCTCTATGCAATGTGAGGAAATGCTTATGCTGTAAAAATACCAGTATATGGTAATACAGACAAAATGAGAGACATCTTTGTACTCTCAGCCATCATGTTGTATGTTTAAACACACTGATAACATATTTTAAGCTAGCCTGGGATTAACTTTGCAAATCAGTGACTGTGTATTAGCCACACAACCTGCAGCTTCATCATGGCTGTCTATATATCTGGATATGTTTAAGATTATGAACACAATGTAAGACTAGGGGATATTAGGAGAAGGAAAATAAACTTCTGATTTTCATTCACCAAATGTAAAACAGATACTGACCTTTACATATTGGGAAACTAGGAGACCATCCAAAGTGGTAGCATTGCACTGAATCTGGTCCAACTCTGTGTCCTTGTTGGCAAGACAATTTTAACAAATCTCCAACTTTATATTTGTCATTCCTGGGATTGACGAATAAGTGTGGTGATAGTAAGGGGATGCTGCATTCTCTTTCTTGAAAAATAAAATAATTAGAGAATACATTTAATCATTCAGAAGTAGTTTTATCTCTCTCATGTGCATTCACAGGGAAGCATCAGTAACCATCTTCCTTATGAAAAGTGTTGAATATTACATTTGCTATAGCTCCTAAATTCATATGGAAGTCTGAGGAATGTATATTGATGGAATATATAAGTCATAGACTTGAAAAATGAAATTAACTTATTTTTACTGGGTCTGAATTGCGCAGGGGATTACTAATGTTAAATTTACAACTAACCTTTTCTTACAATACACAACTGTTCTTTCATATTTGAAATTAATACTATACACTATGTGTATGATATTTTCAAAATATTATTTCGGTTTAATATACTTGAGAAAGTAGAACAGGTAAAGTCATTTCTAATGTATTTGAAGTTAGGAAAATAAAGTTAGTTTATTTTAAATTAAAAAAGAACATAAAAAAGTGGACAAAACAGTAACATAAATTGTTTCAATATTTACAATACTCTAAGCTATTTTGTTGTATTTCCAAATCTTATTAACTGTTAATCAATCTAACTCAAATTAAGAATTTGTAGCATTCCCCATTACAATTATTTTTTTTTAATTGTTGGCATTGTTGTTACAAAAAATAAACACTTTTTTCTTGTTTGAAATCTCCCATATTTACTAATTTATAAAATTAGAGATTACAACTTAAAAACTAGGTTTATACATAAAAGAAAATTCCAGCTTTCAAGAGTCAAGAGTTAGTATGGAGTTAACAACAAAAATGAAAGATATTTAAAAGCAATATCTAAAGCAAATAACCAAAACCTCATTTTGTGAGAGGACACACAAGTATGGCACACATTAGAGCTTCTGGAAACAGTCCCCAATAATTCCTTTGCTTTAATATTGAGTTTTTTAGATTCCCTGGGAAAAATCAGCCTTAACAAGACTCACAGTTATTAAAAGTCTGGGGTCACTCATATTCACCATAACCATGAATAAATTTTAATAAGAAGAGGGTTTTTATTTAGTTATTGGTATCAGGGGTGTGGCACCAGGTCTGCAAAACTATCTGAATTTATTATGCGACAGTTCATCCAAAGTTAAAATATTCCATCCTGCAGGAAAGCTCCTTTAGCAAGAAGGTAAAGATCTCTAAATAGCTCCAGGAAGTCCCTGAAACTGACCAGATCCAGTAGGTAACTTACTCCCAAGTAAACAAGCCAAACTGATGAATCATTCTCAGAGAAGGCAAGCTGCAAAGAAGATACTCAAATAAGCCTAGATGTAAAAATAGAAGATTTCGAGACTATATCAGCTGCCTGGAAGAAGCTAAAACCAGCCCAACTCTCTGGAAGAGGTTTAGAGCAACTGAGTCACTTGGTAAAAACACTCTCCAATCTGGTGTATAGGCTGTGCAGTGTACTCCAGTTATATGTTTCTGTGAGCTGTTACCCATGCTGGGTGGGCCTTGGTAATGCAGCTGTCTTTGAGTCATTTCTGGTCCTGTAAGCAACCCTTCACTCATATTTCAGTAACCCCAATAAAACTCATGGGTCATCAAGTTGAGTTTGGTGGTTTCTGTATGATGTCTGATCATGAACGCCTTATCTGGGGCATATCATCTTCACAGGAAAGGTTTTGTCACATTAATAAATAATTCGGTAGTATATTTTATTTTATTTTTATAATGTTAAGACTGACCCTAAAGTCATGGGGTAGACAAGCCTTGTCCTAATGAACTAATAGCCCTATCCTTGCATTCTATTTTAGTATTATATCGTAGAAAGTCCTGATTTCACAATCTTGAACTGCTTATAATCAGAGAGAAATTGATAATCACCATTTGCCTAGTTTGATTTTTTTTAATTTGCAGCGTCATTTGAATCTCTTTGTTGTTTATGATAAGTCTTCATATGTTGCCCAGAGTGGTCTCATATTCAAGATGCTCATAATTCTCCCTCCCAAGTTCTAGGATTACAGACATGTACCACCTTGCCAGGTGTAGACATCCCTAATGAATTATATTTGAGTGGATGCTTGATGCTACAATCAATTTTCTAAATTTCTGCTGCTATCCTTTCTAAAGGAATTCTGGCCACCCAGGCATGGCAAACATGGCTCTGGCAGGCCTTGCCCTTCTCATTGCCTCTGCCTTCCTATAAATCATTAGATTACCTTGCTAAAGCTAGCCACCAAGGTCTGTTCCCTTATTTGGCCACTTCCTCCTCCTGAGGCTGACTATCAAGGTCCAGCTATCAAAATATTGAAGTCAAAAATCCATGTGGCTCACCTAATAAACATGTCCAAATAAAATTAAACACCTCACCCTGACACAGGTTTCCCCTTGTACCTTTATAAATTACCATTTTCCTATATGCCACATCTGTCTCCTCTCTATCTATTGGTAGCCCTTTGTCCTGAGCCAATACTTTTCCTTTCACTTTCAATTTTTTTTCTCTTGCAACTTGTCCATCTCTTTCCTTCCCACTCTTCAGATTTGCATGACCTTTTTTCATATTTCAAATCATAATTTTGATAATGGAGACCTAGTTTAAATAACTAAGAGCATGCCTTTAAGATAATGAAACAATTATACTTTAGTCAGAGATACTTGATATACACAGGTCATACAAAGGAATAATTAATTTAACGTATTTTGTTTGTTGTTTGTTTGTTTATGGAAACAGAGACTCAATATGTAGCCCAACATATCTTCAAATTTAAAATCTCTTGTTCTAGGGTTATAGTTCTAGAGTCATAAGAATGTGCTATCTACACCTCATAAGTACATTATTTTAAAAACAGATAATCAGCACTTGAGAGGCAGAAGCAGGTGAATCTTTGTGAGTTTGAGGCCAGTCTGGTCTACAGAGCAAGATCCAGGAAAGGCGCAAAGCCACACAGAGAAACCCTGTCTCGAAAAACCAAAAAAAAACAAAAAAAAAAAACCAAAAAACCAACCAACCAACCAACCAACCAAAAAAAAAAACAAAACAAAAAAACCAAAACCCAGATTATGAGGCCACTGAGTCAGTGAGGGGGCTTGCCTCCAAGCTTGGTGACAGGAGTTCAATTCTGGGACTCACATGATGAAAAGAGAGAGCTGACTCACAAGTTCTCTGACATCTTCATGAGTAATGTGGTGTGCACACCTCCATAGATACACACTTATAACCATTGTACACATATAAGATAAATAAATGCTCGCAATGCAATAATAAAAACAAACATGATCAGCTTTAGCCTTCAAAATAGTCCTTTCTCCTAGTTTACATTGAATCAGAAGGAAGATCCTAGGAAGTTCATATTTTCAAGTAACACATAAATTTTTATTTTTGCCTTGTGAAAAGAAAAATCCCAGAGAAAATCATACTCACCATAGCATGAAGGTATGTCAGACCATCCATCATATGTACATGTTATGGAGCCCTTAGTATGTTTATATTTGTTTTCATATCCCATATGGCATTCATAGTTTAATTTATCATTGAGTTTAAACCACGTGCTATTATTTTTAGTTTCAGCATTCTCAAATATAGGCCTATCACAAGACTCTAATGCAAAATAAAATAGAAGATTTCATTTAATGTGTCAATGGACAATCTGAGCAATTCCTATGAGAACAAAAGTAGTCATAGGTTAATATATGATAACAATGAAATACTATATATAAAGACCCTTAGAAGACCAATAATAAATCATTTTCCTGAAATAGTTATGAAATGAAAACTACACTTCTATTAGCAATTACTGCCTCAGTTAAGTTTTACAAACTTTATAATTTTTCAGCTCATTTTTTTCTTATATTTATTACATACTGCAAATAAATAGACAAGTTCAGATGTATTTTGTTTTAGCGAAGGGTAATAAACTTTGAAAATTAATGTCCCATATTTAGTAGTTCATATGCAATATAGAATATAGAAAAGTAGATTAGTTAAATTTAAAACTGGTGAATTTATTTTATTATATCAAAGGTTCTTTTCTCTCACAATAAGGAAATCCAAAAAGTCTTGTAATTATATGAATATTACATGGGAATAATTTTAATTGCTTTTTCTTTAAATAGATCTTGTAAAAGTACAATAAATGAAAAATAGAAACTAAGAAAGCAGTAAATGTATTAAATCACCTTATCATTTAAGTTATGTTGCATAGTTCCTGAAAAAAAAACACTGGCTAGCTTTCTGATAAGTAAGACAAGCTGAACTCACTATTCTCAGAAAACTTTCATTAACTGTAGGTACTAAAACACAAAAATTTGATGATACCTGGGAATATTTCTTTCTTTTCAATATCAAAATATTTGGGAAGAATTTATAAGAGGGAGACCCTCTGAGACGGACCTTAACTGATAGTGTCAAATATGTATTATAAGGTTATCACATATTCTGGGATCTAAAACATGGATATGTATCTTCACCTAAAGCTTTACCTTTATATCTAGGAGCAAAGGCTTTGATATGCAAGGCAGAGTATCTTTTAAAAGGCAGCTGTTCAAATAATCCTTCACTAAATTTAAAATGATAGGATATTTTAAAGCATTGGAAAGGGAAATGAACTGATATTCTACAGTGCAGGAATGAGTCCAAAAGGAAAAACAAATAATATTTTTTTCTTGAAGTTTAAAACTCATCTTTCAAGTGAAACAACACCAGCCACCTCAAAGGAGAATAAAGCTAAACCCTTATACATTACCAGTATAATGGCAGGAATATCATGAAGTACTCACTGATACATGAGGGTTGAGCTGACCATCCATTTTGGAGGCAGGTAATTGTTCCTGATGTTTCTCCATTTGCTGTTACATATCCTTGTTTGCACCTATAAAGTGTTTTTCTGTTTAGAGCATATGTACGATCAAATTCAGAAAGAAACCCATTCTCAATCTCTATACTGTCCTTTGAACATGTCTCTAAAAGGGAAAGGAGTGAAAAAAGGATGAGTTCATGCTCAGTAGCTTAAGGATTACAATACAAAAGATATTTAAAATAGCTGTCAGTCACTTATACATGAAGACTTAAAATAATCAGAATCATTCACATTCCTGAACCAAGGAAATCAAATCATAGGTTTTAAGATACACAATATCTTGTTTGAATTTTTTAACATAGCAAGATTTAAATCACTCATAATTACTTCTAAAATTGTGTTAAAATTTTTGTCCAAGTGAATGCACAATCCTACAGAAAGTCAGCATCCTGAACGATATTTTTTCTTATACTTTCCTTAAACCTCAGAATAATTGGCTCTCTAAGGCATCTAGACTTATTTGCTCAATTAAAGATCCTGTGGTTGGGTGATAATCTTGGAAAATCTATCTGCACAGTTGCTACAGACTCCAGTTTCAAAAATTTGAAATACCGTTGTAACCTCATTGCTGGGGGATGTCTTTCTGTATGCTGTGAATATATGTTATTCCCATTGGTTAATAAATAATCTGCTTTGGCCTATGGCAAGGCAGCTTAGAGTCAGGCAGGATAGGAGAGAGACAAGAAAGAGAAAAGGTGGGGTTTGGAGAGAGACGCCATCCCACCATCCAGAAAACATCATGTAATGGCACACAGGTAAAGCCATGAAACATGTGGTGATAAATAAATTAATAGTTATGGATTAATTTAAGATATAAGAGCTAGCTAGCAAAAGACCTGCCATAGACTAAACAGTTTGTAAATAATATAAGCCTCTGTGTTTTACTTGGGTCTGAGCTACTGCAGGACTGGGCGGGACACAGGAAAACTTCCAGTTACACCTCATGCCTAAAATACAATGGATGTTCAATGTTCAAAGAGGATCATGAGAAACAAAAAAAAAATTATTTACTCTTCTCATGGCAAAATGATGCCTCCTCATATCTTGAATAACTGAACTTGAAAGTGTAAAAGTAAATTTTTTAATTTCACTTTTCTTATCAGCTGAATAAGATTCCATTGTGCAATGTACCAGATGAAAATATATTCCATAAAAAATTAATTTAAAAAGAAAGTATAAAAAGAAATCCAGTTACTAGATTTCTTCTCAAAACATACATTTGATTGTTTATGGATAAGTAGGAAATCAAAGAATAAAACATTAAATATCTTATATAAATGCTGATTAAAGGATTCGATAAAATATTGAACGGAAACACTAAGTAGTGAAGACACAGGAACACCATCAAACAACTAGAAAAGCATAAAGAATAAAAATAAATAAGCATTTTCACTTCACTAACTTGGATGAGGAAACAAATACTAACACAAGCACAAGCTGTGAAAACCTCAAGTGATGAACAGAGATCAAGCAAAAGCCAAATGTGGGAAAGGTAATGAATTGTGATTTTTGTAAAGGACTGTAACAAAATGTAAAGAAAATAAAAGAAAAACAGAGGGCCATCCATAAACAAGGAGGGGAATGAGAAGTTTTGTGAAAATTACCAATGCCTGTTATTGGAAGACAAAGAGCCCCAGACTAGAATTCCAGAGTAGCAAGAGACTAATGAGGTCTGTTATCAAGGAGGCTTCATTATGGAGGATTTTTCCAGAAAATAGTACAGTGAAAGGAACCTGACCAGAAAATAAATAATAGGCATTTTACTAAATTGAAGAAACAAAACCATTTTTCTAAAAGCGATCAGAGTCACTGGATCTGTGATATAGAAAAGCAGAGCAGAAAGAAAACCCAAAGTAGAATTCTGCAGATCTCCACCACCATCCTCTAGTTCTCTGGCCAGATGTCAGGAAACTACAGCACCTTACAAGACTCTGTGATGCAATAGAACAGAAGAAGAAAATTGGCTGCAAATTGTAAGGTCAAAGGCTCCCAGAACACCAGCAATATGAGATACTCAAATTGAAAAGGTGGGACAGTTCCTTTTGATTAGGCAAATCCTTTAGTAAGATCCCAGAAGAGGTTTATTGATGTTCTGAACACACTAGTTGGAAAGAAAAAGCTCTGAAACTAGTCTAAATAAATTTCATGGGAACAAAATTATCAAACGCAGCTTCCATTCATGCAGATATCCAATCCCTAGCACTAACAGCAAATGTTCTAACAAGGTACTGCTTCTTTACTCAAAAGATGTGGTGGATGTGGAAGAAAATGCATTGTGGCAACATCTTATTCCCCTAACAAAAATTCCCAGAAAAGCAACTGATAATGCTCACCCATTTCATCCAAGTATCAATGATAAACCACATAAACATATTCATGGTAAGACACAGTAGCATGAAAGCTGGCTGCACTCAACGTATACATTGAAAAGGACAGTAGCCCCATATCAGTTACCTGAGACTCTCTTAAAGGCATTAGGAAAGAAAAAAGAAAAAGAAAACACTATCCATAAAAAGACCATGGACAAAATTTCATTGAATGTAATAATAAACAAATCTCAAGGCATAATCACAGGGATTCTACAGAATCTTAGTGTTTTAAGTAGAAATTATTTCTTTTATCTATACATCAAATGCAGTATCAATAATGATATTAACATCAATGTCAGTAAAAGTCACTAAATCATTACTCTGCAACTCACTATATTAGAGATGTCTGATGTATAGACCAAAAGACTACAAGTTATGATCTACATGGCTAGCCACTCCATTTTGTGAATAAAACTCCATTTGAAATTTGAAAAGAAAAAGACATTAGAAGAAGAAGAAGAAGAAGAAGAAGAAGAAGAAGGAGAAGAAGAAGAAGAAGAAGAAGAAGAAGAAGAAGAAGAAGAAGAAGAAGAAGAAGAAGAAGAAGAAGAAATTAAAGTTAAAGTTGGTAGATGTGTGTGCATGTGGTAGGGGTGTGTGTCACATCCTGAACTAAAATAATGAAACAAAAATACAAGGAATAATGTTTGTAATACACAAATGCATTCCTACGAAAAATAACCTTTACACCTTCATACTATAAAAGATTTTAAGTTAATAACATTTAAACAGATTTAGCACAGAAAAGTAGAGACAGCACAGGTTATCAATATCAGCAATTATGGGAAATATATATATTTATTATATATATAAAATATATTATATTATATAATTATATATTTATTATATATAAATGTATATAAATAAAATATATATCTAATATGACTTATTTTAAAAGAACCATCAGGGAATATTATGGGTATCCATGTCAATTAATTTGACAAATTAAAAATTAATGGAGTTTAAAAGCCATAGTTTATATAACTCACTCAAGAAAAATATTTTAGATGATATAGTTGCTTCAGTATGAAAAACATGTACTAGATAAACATTTACAGAATAACACAGGAACTTTCTGTTGCATACAACAGAACATAAGAAACCAAAGGCCTAACTTACTACACAGATATATCCTACTCATTAATAGAAAAAAATTAAATTATACTATATCATTTGTCTCTAATTTTATTCCAGAAAAGCATTTTATATTCATAAGTAAGCTCATTTTAACAGTCACATAACAAGGGACCATCACAGCAAAATAATTCTTCAAAATGTCAGATGATCTAGATATTTTAAACCTAATGTAAACTTATAAAATACGTTATTTAATAGAAATATCATACTTCTCCAACGATAGATTTCTACAATCTATACTTTTATTTAACATTTGAATTTTTAAATTAAATTGTTCATAAAGAAAGGGATTGAAGATTTAATATTACAAGGTATCAAGTCTTATATAATGGAGTAGTCACTTATGATGTTGGTGAATGTACAAGTATACAGAGCAGTAGAAAAGAACAGGGAGTCAGTGACTCACACACCTAAGACTAGTTCATATTTAGGAATAATTAACATCAATTTCATCATAGAAGATAATCTTTCATCAAAGAAAACATTAGCATTTAGGCATTTAAATGCAAAATAATAAGCTTAAACATTTTTCTCACACTCAAATAAAATTATTATTGATCATATACCTTAATGTAAGATATAAACTTCTAGAAAAACAACTGCTTTTGACTTATAAATGACATTTTGATGATTAAAAAAAAGAGAACCAGTAATTGATTTTTTTTGATATGTTGAATAGCATCAAAACAAATGCTTGCTATCAATGAAGACTAGAGTCACAGCTATGGGTAAGACTTAGTGCCTACCTCCTCTAAAGATGCTGAGATTTTGTCTGACTGCAGCTTATGCACATCTTGTGTATGCTTTCACAGGGAGAGGGCTGACAATGCTCCACTGGATGGACACACACCCAAGAGGTTAGGGGCAGCACAGATAGGACTTCAATTTTTTTGAAGAACAAAAAAATAAGGTGGGTAGGGATGAGGTAGATATGGATGGAATTTGGGGAGGAAGGTGAATATGGTGAAAATATGTTGTATGAAATTCTCAAAGAACTAATAAAAATAAGAAAGGAAAAAGTAAACATTTGCCCTTGAAAGACAGATAGAATGTAACTTGAGCTGTAAAAGTGAGGAAATGCTTGTGAAGAACACTAGCCCACAGAAGCCTAATAGTGACAATGTACTAAGTAGTCTCAAAATTCAGTAGAAACATAACAAACAACAAGGAAAACGTGGGCAACATTTTGAAGAACCATTTTCAGAAAGATGTGTAGATGGCAGATTAGCAGGGGAAAGGGTGTCCTTCAGCTTTATTCCCTGAGACCTGAGATGCCACCATTAAAAGCTTAAAATCTGAAGATACGAAGAAGCTAGTTTCCCAGAGTCTGCATATGTGAATATGGAAGTCACAGTTGCAGAAAACTAGCATACATCTAGATGATCCAGCATATCCACCCTGCAAAGGGATAAAAGCAAGTAAAGCCCTTCCCAGGTGTAAAGACTGTAAAAGCACAACAATGATAAGCAGAGCAAGAAATTCTTATTTGTGCAATAGTGAAATTTATGTATCAGTGGTAACCAATGGCTGTATAATTGTACCTAAGTCCCAATCAATAAGCAGGAATTCATGCCTGGTACAGTAAACCTAGCCAACTACCCTAGAGGAGAGCCTATTACTACTACCTTACTAAACCAGTACTATTTCTTTTTTGTTTGTATGTTTGTTTTGTTTTGTTTTGTTTTGTTTTTGAGACAGGGTTTCTCTGTGTAGTTTTGGTGCCTATCCTGGAACTTGCTCTATAGACCAGGCTTGCCTCGAACTCACAGAGATCCACCTGACTCTGCCTCCCGAGTGCTGGGATTAAAGGTGTCTGCCACCACTGCCCAGCTTACCAGTACTATTTCTAATGACATTGTAAATACCTATTTGCTAGGGGATGGTCTTTCTGTATGCTGTGAATATATGTTGTTCCCATTGGTTAATAAATAAGCTGCTATGGCCTATGGCAAGGCAGCTTAGAGGCAGGCAGGGAATCCAAGGAGAGAGACTGGAAAAGGAAAGCTGGGGTCTAGAGAGAGACACTAGCCTGCCACCCAAAGAACAACATGCCAGCAGACCAGTAAGCCACAAATATGTAGCAAAACAAAGATTAATAGAAATGGGTTAATTTAAGATATAAGAGCTAGCTAACAAGAGGCCTGCCATAGGCCATAAAATTGGTAAATAATATTAAGCCTCTGAGTGATTATTTTGTAAGTTGCTGTGGGACCAAGGAGACAGGCAGAGAAACCTGACTATACTTATTCCTGTATACACAGATATGTGATTTTAGGATCCACATGAAGTCCCATAAAAGATAACCAGTCATGTAATGAGATAAGCAAGAGAATTTATCAAAAATTACCAACATGTTGGGCTCTAACCATCTGACAAAGAGCCAAATGGCAACCCTGAGAG